GATGTTTGTAAATTTGCTGACAAGCTCAAAGTTACTCTGCAAGGCATCGATATGCTGCTCACACCCAGCTCTTGAGGGACAGGCACGGGAGACCTCACATCCTCAGGTTACCAGAGCACACTCCAGGCAACCTGAAACCAATCTGAAAATAGACACTAGAAGTTTCCCCTCGGACAGGCACTCGCTCTTTCAGCTCTGCTATTTTGCATCTGCCCCACAACATGGCCCAGAGCCAGTAAACCCAGCAAACCCAATGAGGCATCTAGTGCAAACCAGTAGCTGAGAGCCAACCGGTTGTTTTGGCAAGCAAACCTCTTGCCAAGTCTCCTATAGTTTATGAGAGAGCTGGGGGTGTCCAGCCTGGGGAAGAGAAGGCTCTGGGGAGACCTTAGAGGCTCCTACCAGGGCCTAAAGGGGCTCCAAGAGAGCTGCAGAGGGACTCTGGGCAAGCACATGGAGTGGCAGGACAAGGGGGAGTGGTTTCCCACTGACAGAAGGTTGGAATAGATTAGATATTAGGGAAAAATCCTTCCCTGTGAAGGTGGTGAGGCACTGGCACAGGTTGCCCAGAGAAGCTGTGGCTGCCCCATCCCTGCAAACATTCGAGGTCAGGTTGGATGGAGCTCTGAGCAACCTGATATATAGTTAAAGATGTCCCTGCTCGTTGCAGAGGAGGGTGGACTAGGCGACCTTTAAAATTCCTTTCCAACCTAAATCCTTATATTATTCTATGACGTCTCCTATAGCTATGAAGTTTCAGCAGGGAGCTGATACGTTAGCTGGCTGGCACTGAGTATCCCAAGATCTGGCTGGAAAAAGAAGGGGAAGTCCTCAGTCTCGTGGGATTTTTTCCTCCCCTAGCCCTCCCTCATCCCTGGATTTGCCAGCGCCCTCTGTATAGCACATCTATAAATAGGGCACGCAGGCACGGGCCTGGCAGGATGGATTCCCACTGCCAGCGGGTCACATGCAGCCAGAGGCATTCTGACCCCATAGGCACTGCGGCAAGAAAAAGCTGCTGATTCCCACCATCACCCTCCTTTCCCCTCTGATCGAAGCAGCAAGAGCTTCCTGTGGCAGCATTATTATGCCTGGGCTCCCTCAGCACCACTATCTCTTCCACACACACCTCCTCCCCTCAAAACCCCACAGCTATCTTAAACACCACCAGAAGAACAGCACCGAAACCAAAATTGCATAACAGCTGCTGCACCCCACAAATATCTGCTCTTCTTCATGCACAACGAAGAGGTCAGAGGAGTTTCTCCAGCAAACCCAGGAGATCCCTTCCCTTTGCAGTCTCCCCAGGACTCTGGAGGTGCCTTGCAGCTTCAGGATAAACCTGGCTAGGGCTGTCTTCACAGGTCACCCCCCCACACACAGCTCATTAGCTTGAAAACAGAAGCAAGGCTGTTGGACTTCTTAAGACACAGCACTTTCACCCTAGAAAACTCTCCAGGTGGCAGAAGGATGTTTGGGGCTTCAAAGAGCCTCCCAGGTTGCTCCACCTCCCCTTGGACTGCAGCACTGGGAGTGGACAACAAGGCAAATTTGGATCCAAAGTATCTGCTAATGCCATTTTTTGAAGGATGAGCAAGAAATAAGCTGCTACCCACCAGCACAACTGGCCCTGGGCAGGAAATTCACACTCAGCCAGCTGCTTGCTTAAAAAGAGGAAATTTGGGCCCCCTGAGAGCAGCCTTTAAGCTCTCATTCCCGGCCAGTGAGGAGGAAGCACTGAGGCTGAAGGCTCTCCAACATGAGCTGCTCAGAGTAGCTGCAGTGTGTGAGGGAGGAAAGCATCCAAAGGGAGATGGCTGTGCTGGTGCTGCAGCATCCACCCACATCCTTCTGTGCTGTCGCAGAGGAGGAGGGAAGGAGGAGACACCACCCAGGTGCCTTCTCCATCCCTCCCAACCAGGAGAATTGGCAGCCAGGGGCAGTTCCCTGCCTGCTTTCCCAGGAACAAAGCTCCAGCTATTTAGACCATCTTATTCCAGACATCAGCAGGATCCCACAACCCCCTCCCAGCAGCCAAGAAAGGTGCACCGTGACCTCAACAGCAAAGCCCTTCAGTGCTGCAGAGTCCCACCACAAAGGTGTCCTCCACATCACCCGAAACTCAAAGCCTGCAAGTCCCATTTAACTTTTATTTAAGAAAAATACAACAACCCAACCCCCAAACCGGCTGTTCCAAGCCCAGCTCACATGACTCTGTTGAGACAGGTCAGACCACAAGATAAGTCACAGCCCTGAAGCATCTCAGCTCCTCCACTGTCTGAGCCAAACCCCTCTGGGCACAGACAGAGGCACCCACACACCCTTCTCCAAAGGGCTGAGGAAGATCTTAGCTGTCCCACCCTCACTTTCTACAAGACCCTCCTCCATCCCTCCAGGACCAGGCATACCACTCCAGTGCCAGGGATACCCCTCCAGGGTGAGCCAAAGCCCAAGTCACATGTCCTGCTCAGCACCAGCCCTTTGCCCAGAGCTTTGTCCTTTGTTCTATTTGCCAGCGTTTATGTATGACTCCAAGCCACAACAAAGCAAACCCATAAAGGCCATGATGCAGCCCAGCTTGCTGTGCTGCCAGGTGAGCTTGGTAGCATGAAACCCGTGGCCTGGTGACTTCATTACAGCTCCTAGTGCATTAGCAAAGCTTGAATTCTTTTTTCTTTAAGAAAAAAACACAAGACACTCTTACTCACACCTATCCTTTTCTAGCATAGCCAGATCACTAGCACAGGTTAGATAAGAGAATCCTAGAAAGGTCTGAGCTGGAAGAGACCCTAAAGACCATTTGATTCCAACCCTGCTAGACCAGGTTGCTCAGTATCTGGCAAAATTAATCCATCCTGAGACATGCCACAGCACTCACCTCTACAGCCATCCATAGAAAGCACAAGCATTCCTCCCAAATGGAGCTACACTGATTATTTTCCTCTTCTTCTTACAGCCCAATCCCTAAACCAGAGTCTTGCACAAGACCCCTGACACCACTGAAATCCCTCCCCTTCATCTGCAACCTCGAGGGAAATGCCAGAAGGAAGCAATCCTCGCTGTATCACGCTTGCAGCACAACCCTGAGGCTGGGTACTGGGATGAGAGATTTATTCCAGGCCACAGGGCTGCATGGCAGCTCCTCCAGCTCCACTCCCAAGCTACGGTCCTGGTCCAGACCCAGGC